TTATTTGAGATAATAATGCTTTATTGAAATAGAATAATTTAGGGGGGTTATATTTTTAAAATGAATTTTAAATCTGTATAAGCAAAATATTTAAAGCCGTGAGGTTTTACTGTATAAAAGAATAGAATTATGGACAATCGTTGATCAATAGGCACGAATAAATAACTGAATAATTACAAATAGTATAAATACATTCCCCTGCTTTAAGTTTAAATCAGAGGTCACAGTTCTCAAATACAAAACTGTAGTATTTTGGCAAAAAAAAATTAAAAAATTACTATAAAAGGAAAAATTTGCCTCTAAGAAGAGGTGTCTGACGGTGGGGAGGAGGGGGTTCTGCCTTTTACATGATATATTTCTGGATTATTTAATTTTCTTTCAATGGGGATATGTTCTTTTATTCGTTGTATAATCCCTTTAAAGTTTTAAAGAAGAAAAATATTTTCTAATCCTATCACTAATTCCTTCCCAGCCCATCCTTAACACTTATCATTAGCATTTTGATCTTTTTTTCTTTCAATTAAAATATATGGAATATATTTTACATATATATTCTTTTTATAATTTCAGGAAATTAAATAAAGTTGGCAGGTTAAATTAAGTGCATATTCATTGACTGACATTTTCTCATAGTGTCCATCCGACAATTTGATTAGACCAGACCCGTCAGCTCTTGGGGTCGGCAGCAATGGACATAACATTGTCCGTGCGACTTAAGAAAATCAGATTCAAAACTGAAAACACCACCACAGTGAAAACATAATGATAGAACTGAGAGTCTTGATTTTTTATGATGTCACTTACTCCTCTTACATTCCGTGATCTAAAAATCAAGTTAAAATAAAATCACCTTTGTCATTTCAGATGCACCCCGTATCCTAGGTTCTACCTTCTCGATGTCACTTAACTTGGCCTTAAAGGTTAACCGTTTTTATTAACATTCCTAACGTGAATGGAAAAGGTGATTTTACATCTGCTCAGGCGTGCACACACACGCACACATGTGCACACACACGCAAGTAGATTAGTGGTTACCTGCATGCACACACGCATGCACACACACGCTTGTCTTCTATGAACATGAGGGAGAGACTTGTTTAATTCTGAAAGGTGACCAATGACATAATTAAGTGTCCCTTCTGATGGATGACGCTGCCCTTGATTCCGCCTCCTTCTCGCCCCTGCCGGCAGCTTTTCTCCCTTCGGCCCGCTCTCAGATGTCCCAGGGTCTCTGATTGTAAATAATTAATGGAGACCATTACGTGTGATGGGAAGGAAAGCCACCTTATTCACATCTATAACCACTGACACGCGAAGCTCTTTTCCGATTTCTCTTTCCAAAAATACACAGGAAAAAAATGAAAAAAAACAAAAAACAAAAACAAAAAAACAAAACAAAAACCAATAATCTCCACGCAGGCGCAGTGATCTTGCGCTGGTGTTTTTGGCAACGACGCCAATTGTACATGATACGCATCCACGCACGTGGATTTCTCCAACGCGTGCTTTGGAACGGCGAAGGTCATGGCTTACAGTGAGCTGCGACAGCATCAGGGCCTTTACTGCAAGCAGCTTCTCCGCCTTTCTATAGAGCAAGAATCTTCTGTGCTGGTGGCGGACCTCGCTCAGTATGACGTATGGCAGGCCCTGCGTTCAGGGTGATTAATCGATTGACTTCTCCCAACGGTATTGTTACGAACAATTTCGAACATACAATAAAGCTGAATAACCCGAGCCGTGCGCACTCATCCACCCCCCACCTAGCGTCCACTATTAACATTTTCTAAAATTTCTCGCTCACATTTTTCTCCGTCTATCCATTCCTCCATCCGTCCATAGACCCATCATTTTGAATGCATTTCGGAGTAAGTTAGAAACACCTGTACCCTTCGCCCTCAAATATTTCAGCAGTCATATTACTCGATGGTGTTTACAGGTTTTTTAGGTAAAATTCACGTAAAGGAAAAAGTACATATCTTCATTGGACCGTTTGATACGTTTTGAAATAACACTAGTATAATGGAGACACCGTCAAGAAATGGAGCCCTCACCCAGACATGTCTCACGCCTCCTGGTCAACCTCATGCCTGTCCCTTCCAAGAACCACTCACCGTTCCTTTTTTTTTTTCACCCATAGATTAGAATCATTTTGTGCAATCACTCAGCATCATGCTTCCGGATTTCTACCCGTTATTTCCTGGATTGGTAATTTATTTTTCCTTATTGCCAAGTTGTAACTAAACCACAAACCTAGTTTACCCATATTTTTGACGGACACCTGCACTATTTATAGTGTGGAAATACTATGAATCATGCTGCTGTGCACATTCTCGGATAATCTTTTAGACATATTTCTCTTGGGTGAATATCTAAGAATAGAACTGTGGGTCATAGAGTAGGTGGATGTTTAGCTTTATAAGAAACCACCAGACTTGTTTGCAAAGTGGTCGTTACTATTTTACACTTGAACCAATAAGGCATCAGTGTTCTGGTTGCTCCATATCCTTCTTGAGTCTTTTCAAATTGTAGTGATTCTGGTGGGAGTGTAGTGGTGTCTGTTGGTATTTTTAATTCGCACTTCCGTGGTGACTAATGGTGTTGAGTTCTTTAAATATCTTCCTCTAGTCATATCTTTGCCCATTTTTAATTGGGTCGTTTGTCCTTTATTTTTGAGTTATAGATACCATGCCTTTTTTGGATATGTGTTTTGCAAATATTTTCTTCTAGTGTGCAACTTGCTTATTTTTTTAAATGATAGGCCAATCTTTCGATGAGCAGAATTTAAAGTTCTGGTGAAGTCTACTTAGCAATTTTTCCCTTTATGGTGTTGCTTTCTGTGTCCTAAGAAACCTTTACTTACTCTCAAGTCATGAAGAAATTCTCCTATTTTTTTTCTAGAAGCTCTATAGTCTTAACCTTTATGGTTTGATCCATGGTCCATCTCAAATTAGGGTTCGGGTTTCTTTGTACTCGATGGATGGCTGGTTGTTCCAACACCATTGGTTGAAGTGACTTTGCTTTTCTCATTGTATTGCTTCGATGCCGTTGTCATCAATTGGATGTATAAGTATGAGCCTGTTTCTCAACTCTTTCCTATTCCATGGGTCTATCTATCTATACCAGTATCGCACTGTCTTGATTACTATAGCTTCGTAGTAATACTGTGCATCTTCCAATTCTCTTATTTTTCCAGATTGCTTTGGGTATTCTAAGTTCTTTGAATTTCCATACCAATTTGAGAATCAGATCGTCAATTTCTATTCTTTTTTTAAAAAAACAAACAAACAAAAAAAAAACCTCTTAAAATTGTGGCCGGGAGTCCATTGTATCTAAGATGAAACTGGGGAGAACTGACATCAATGTTGATTTCGCTCATCCATGAACATGGGCTATCTCTCCCTTTACATAGGTCTGGTTTAATTTCTCTCAGCCGCGTTTTAGAGTTTTCAGGATAAAGCTCTTGTCTATCTTCTGTTAAATATATTTCTAAGCATGTAATTTTTATGCTATTGTAAATAAAGGATTTTTTAAAATTTTCTACCTAGCGGCAGCTATGATGTGATTCGCTTTTGTGATGTGAATACCTGGAAGCCAACCTCTCAGCGTTTTCCTTTAAAAACAAAAAAAAACAAAAAAAACGCTGCCATTTGAGACAACATGGGTGGATCTTGAGAGTACCATGCTAAGTGAAAAAAATCTGACAGAAAAAGTCAAGAATCATATGATTTCGCTCATACGTGGGATATAAAACTAAAAGTAACACACAGACATGACAAACAGAGACTCATGGACACAGACAGTAGATTAGTGGTTACCAGCAGGAAGGGGAGGGGGATGGGGGAGGTAGTTAGGAGTAAAGGGAAGTCAAATATTTGGCGGCGGAAGGAAATTTAACTTTGGGTGGTGAACCCACAATGCAATATACATATGATTATTAAATAGTATACTCAAAACCAATTTGATTTTATTAACCAGTGTCGCTCCAATAATTTTAATTTTTTGAGAAGCTTGATTTATTCATCCTTTCAAAGAGGCAGTTGAGATGGGATGAGTTCCGCCTCAGCCTGAGAGCTAGGAGACCAAACTTCAGCCCCCGTTTGGCTCCCACTGGTTGTTTAAACTCGGTCAAAAATAGTCGAATTCTCTCTCTATTTCTGCCGTCACTAAACACGATGAGAATCTAACTCATCATTTTTGCAGTCTTTTCTGTAATATCTATAGATATTAACTCTGGTTTAATAATACATTTGCAAATCTGGTAGAAGCCTTGAATTTTCTACCCAGAAAAATGTACACACACACACATACTCACACACAGATAGTTCTGTGTGCAAATTTAGCATGTGCAGGAAACCTCTGAAGCCTGTTTGCAGCCCTTCGGGGTCCATGGACCTCCTAACCATGAACCCCTGTTCTAAGCAGGAGCTTCATGAGGGGAAGGACTGACTTCCTTCCCTTCTGTGCCTTCGGCACCCAGCACGGGATCAAGTGAGTCTAAATCCCATGCCCTCTGTGGGGTTTTCTGGGGGTGTATAGATGTCCACACCCCCAGGATGTGACCTGTCTTTGTTCCCCCACCAAAGACTATGTGTCCCCATGAGGAACACAGCAGAGGGACAATTCGGCTGGACCTCCGGCTTTCTCACCAAAGCCCCTGCGTCTCTGTCGCTGTCAGTGAGGTCAGCCTGGCAGTTCTTGTCAGGCAGCGTGCTGGGCCCGCTCCAGGTGACAGTCCTGCTTCAGAATCCCCCCAGGGTGCGCTCTGCTGCCCGATGTCCTTGCGGTCAGCCAGACTTCGGCGCCAGCCCCACGGAGGAAGTACCTCCAGCCGGGGGCAGGCGCCAGCGTCTGCCGGGCTTGGTGACATCGACAGCCCATCAGGGCGACGACTCCCTCTTCCTAAAGCCTCAGGGTTATGTCACGTGCTCTTCTTTCTGACGATTCACACGAGCAGCGCCAGCAACGGTGGTGACACTGTGTGTGTGCTTCTGTCTGCCCAGGTGCCAGGGACATGGGCAGCAAACTGTCCACGCCAGGCAGTGACCCCACAGCACAGTGCCCTGGGACAGAAGACATTCACACCGCATACAAGCGGGGAGACACCAGCAGGGCCCGGCACCTGCTCAGAGAGGCTTGTGACGAGAGCGCGTCTCAGCTGGAAAAGGTAAGGTCAGAGCCGACCCATCCGGCCAGGACTGGGCACTGGGGATGGATGCATGCTTGTCGCTCACGTTTCCTGTTTGTCGTCATAGTAATCGTAATGGGGATTTTTATTATGTTCCGGAAAGGCCTTGTTTCCCATTTAAACGTACAGGTGCCAGTCGTTTCTGGTCGACTTCTCAACCTGTCATCACCTAAGGTCCCCACCACTCCCACCTTCCCAGACGACAAGCGAGGGGTAACTGACACGTGAGAACAAAATGCCAGTCTGAAGGTTTAATCTACAGTCCTCTTTTATACCTTTTGTCCGTGATAAAAATAGCACATGCTCAAAAAATGAAATTTAGAAACACATAAATGTAGAGGAAAAAAGAACGAGAAAATAAGAATAATTCTAATAAATTCCCACAATCCCCCTAAGAGTTTTCGTGCGTTTTCTTCCCGCCCGCTGTTCTGAGTGTCCCTCGGGCGCCAGTGCTGTTTCTCATTTACATACGGTCATATCGTGGGTGTGGTTTTGCATAATGAGTTTGCTCACCTAATAGAATATCAACAATTTTCTGTATGAGCATAAATTCCTTCTATGCGTCTCCTTCAGAGGTCGCATGATATTTCATCTGGTAGAGAGACCGTAACATACCCGACTGTTCCGTTTGGTTGGCTATTTGGGTTATTTCTAATTTTTTACTAATATAAATGATACCGTATTGAATGTTTTTGCCTAATCCTTTTTCTTACTGTAAAGGTATCTTAGCAAGGGTTCACAACAGGAGTTGTGAATGTGGGTATAAACATTTTTAAAGTTCTGAAACACATGCCAATCTTCTCGAAAAGCTGGTAGAGATCAACCCTGTGACCCCCCAACAACTGGAGAGGACCGCCGCCACGTCTTGTCCTTGGGGAGGAGGGCCTCTTGTTGGCTGTCATCCTGGAAGCATTTATGATGTTTTATTTGCCTTACTTTTAATGGCATAGGTTTAACAGGTCTCCATTTAGCTAGTAGTTAGAAATCATTCCATTCTTAAACCTGCAGTCTGCTCTCAAGAGTTCAAGGGTCTTTTGAGATGAGGGGACAAATACGACGTGCTTGGGAATTATTGAGGGTGGGGGGCAGCATTTTGGATTCCTCCAATTATGAATTCACAGAGGATACAGCTAAGGGCCATCTTTCTGTACAGAGCTGGGCTGCACACATAGCAGGTCAGAGCCATGGGCCCCTTGGGTGGGCATCTGGTGGCCTCCCATAAGGAAGGGCTGGTGCTCCGCAGACGGAGCCTGACACACCCACGTGAGGAGAGTCGGGATATGCTTGTACATTCATGGCTTGGCCCACCACACACTCGTTAGCAGGGCTGCCTTATGTGAACTGGGTTATTATTTTTAAAAATCTCATCTGATTGGACTTTGAGAAGATGTTGAAGGATGGATAAATCTGTGTTTTTGTAAAAATGTAAAACTTTAGTCCCAAAAGCATACCGTAAATAAGAGTAGAAGATTCATGACAAACTGAGTAGGAATATGGCTGTTGTTCTTAACTGACAAATAATTGTCTTTATTTCAAATCAGTATGAAATGACGATATTTTAAAAGGATGTCAGGCTATGGACAAGAGCAAAGTAAGCCTACAGAAAATGGAATAGAGGAGGTTATAAAAATAAGAGCAGAACTAGAAAACAAAACGTAGAAGTCGAGTAGACCAACGAAATGAAAATTTGGTCCTTTGAAAAGACTAGAAAAATTTAAAAGCTCTCTGGGGAGAATGGTCGATAAAAAAGACAAGAAATAAACTGATCAAGGATATGAAAGATGCCGTCAGTACAGATATTTAAAAAATGATAATAAGAGAAAGTTTTATGGACAACTTTATGGCAAAATACTCGAACATTTAGATGAAATGGACAGACCAAAAAAATTCAACTTCCCAAAACTAAAAAAAAAAAAATAGAAGTAGAAGTTATGAATCATCCTATAACCATGAAGGAAATAAACTAATAATTTAAAACCTTCTGACAAAGTTCTAGATTCACGTGGTTTCACTGGTACGTTCTACAAAATACTGTACTCACTCGACCAGAGACTAGAGAAAGCGGGTGCACACCCCAGTTCCTTCGATGAGGCCAGCACTACCCGCTAACAAGAGCAGACGGAAATAGGACCATGAATGAAAATGACAAAGCCTGTGACTAGGTGCACATGCGCACACACACAGGCACGCACTCACACGCGCGCACACACACACCCCGTCACAGAAATTCAAATACGCAGTACACATATGCAAAGTTATTCAACTTTGTTAATACTTCTAGAAAAGCAAAAAAACGAAACAGCATTTTTTCACTTTTCAGACTAAACAGTAGCTAAACAGTAGCAAAGATACGGGAAATCACGCATTATTTAATATTGTAGAAATGTGAATTTATGCAGCCTTTTTGGAAGGCAATTTGTTGTCATCAGAATTTGAAATTTCTTCCTCTTTTTTAAAATAATTTTTTTTTATTTTTCAAATACAGTTGACATACGATATTGTATTAGTTTCAGGTGTATAGCACCTGAATTTCCAAAGTGATCACCCTGATAAATCCAGTACCCATCCGACACTGTACATAGTCATTACAATATTATTGACTATAACCCTTTTGCTATACTTTACACCCCATGACTATTTTGTAACTGCCACCTTGTACTTCTTAATCCCTTCCCCTCTTAAATCATCCCCTCAACCTCCTTATTACCATCTTGCAACCATCAAAATGTTCTCCGTATCTATGAGTTTGTTTCTGTTTTGTTTGTTCATTTATTTTGTTTTTTAGATTTCACATATAAGTGAAATCATATGACTTTTGTTTTTCTCTGACTTTTTTTCACTCAACATAATACTCTCGAGGTCCATCCATGTTGTTGCAGATGGCAAGACTTGATTCTTTTTTAAATTTTTCTTATGGCCGGCTCATATTCCATTGCATATATGTACCACATTTTTATCCATCCACCTATTGATGGACACTTAGGTTACTTCCACATCTTGGCTATTGTAAATAATGATGCAAAGAATATATGGGTGCATATGTCTTTTCGAATCAGTATTTTGGGTTTCTTCAGGTAATTCTGGGTCCTTGTTTGTCTCTTGTTATAGCCTTTGTTTTAAAGTCTGTTTTGTCTATTTGTTTCCATTTTCAAGAAATATTTTTTCTAGCCCTATATTTTCAGTTTGTGCGTGTCTTTCAATCAGAAATGAGTCTCTTGTAGGCGGCATACATAAGGGGCTTTTTTTCTTATCTACTCAGCTACCTTATAGCTTTTGATTGGCGCGTTTAATCCATTTACATCTAAAGTCGATAGATATATAG